ATCTGGTACCTCAGTGAGTGTTCAGTACTGAGACAGACTTCTCCTGAGAGAGAAGGGTAAAGAAGATTAGAGGATTCACAGACTCTTGTGACATAATAACTAGGATGATTGTCAAAGAAGCTGTTCTGACAAATCTTTGAACTAAACAAGAGGAATCTCATGCTGCCTAGATTATTAGATTTCAGACTTTACTCCATCAGGAAGTTTATTCTGAGTCCAATACCAGTAAATAACTCTGACAGACAATACCTTCCTTAAACAATGTTGTTTCCATAACTGTTTGGCTTTATGAATACAACATGAGACCTGGGAAATGGACAGTGTTTCCATTTTATTTTAAGAACACGTACTTAGGGCCCAAACAAGCATGATTTCTGTACAGACTCTGAACTAAGGGAAAATCATGCATTTCAATGGAAAGTTTTATTTATATGTTGTCCACATGACAGCGTGCCTGTAATAAATGTGGATAGAGCCTTCCTTAATCTTCATTCGCGAAGTCTAGCCATGATGATGTCCACACGAAGCTTATAAATGCTTATGACCCATTCTTGCTTATATATATATATATACAAAAAAACAAACCCACCCAAATATTATGATATCACTATGTTTACATTAATGAAATATGTAAGAAAATTCATAGTAGGACAAAAGTAACCAGTTTAAAATCAAATTTCATTGTGAAGAATAACTCAATCCTAAAATAAAATTAAAATAAAAATGTAATTAGTTCTTTTTTTTTTTTTGCAAAGAAAATTTAATATAATGCTAGTATTTCAAAATATGCAGCAAATAGAGAAAGACATAATCTTCTGGATCACTAAAGATGGGTATCTCTCAAACATTTTCCCTTGTCGGGGGAGGTTCAGATTAGATATTAGAAAAAAAAAATCACTGAAAGAGTGTTCAGGCATTGGAATAAGTTGCCCAGGGAAGTGGTGGAGTGACCATCTCTGTAAGTGTTCAAGAGGCATCTGGATGCGGTACTTGGGGATATAGTTTAAGAATGATTATGGTGGTGCTTGGTTGACTGTTGGACTAGGTGATCTTGAAGGTGTCTTGCAACCTTGATGATTCTATGACTAAAGGAACAGATGATGGGTCAAAGGAAGATACTTTTTTCAAGACTGCTAATGAAAATTAAAATTTAATTAAGAGCTTTTTGAAATTCAGTGGAATCTAATGAGTCAACAACTTGTTCCAAGACTTTAAGATAATATATTTATCTCAGAATCTCACTTTCTTAGCATTTGAGCTATTCAGATTTATGGTGGTAGTGGACCTGGTGGTAAATATACAGGTTAAATCACTTATTCACTTTCCAAACCTTTTATATAATTCAAGTTTGTTTGCTGAAAAGGGTCTACTGTCATGCTGCATAGATTCTTTTGCTTTCCTGTAAATCATAACCTACAACAGTTTCTATGATCCTAGCTAATACAATCTTGAAGTCTATCATGCTTGTTTCAGTTGCTACTCACTCATATTAAAAGGCTGCCTAGAATTCCGGTCATTAAGGGCTTAGAAACTTTCTTCAGACCTTTAACTCATACTAATTCATTGTGTTTCTATTCACATTTTTTCTTCTTACAATATTCTTCTTACCGTTCTGCAGCTCAAATACTTCTTTTCTCTATATAGTTCTTCACCAAAATTTGAATTTATAGACAATGATTCTTCTGCCTCTCAATCTGCTTTACTGTCATTTTTAAAGCCACATTCCCAGCAGCCTTGACCATTCTAAGAGACTATATAGAGTCTCCTACATGAATTCACCTTTTGATTATAGCTGGTCAGAATAACTCTCACATTGGCTTATATCCCAATATTAATGCTTCATTCCCTGGTAGTATGTCATATGCATTCTAAAGCTACATTTGCACCTATGTTTTTCATAGCCAGATTACATAGGTCTCATAGGTATCTTGCTGTTGACTAAACACTCTGATATTTATCCTTTTGTCATCTACATCTGATGATCCCAGCACCTACAGAAGAAATTCTTACAATTTGATTTTAAGTACATGTCTGCAGTATGGAGCATTAGATGCATTCGCATTTCTATTACTTAGACTAAATAATTCAAATTTTCCAGTACAGGAATCATTCCTACTTTTTCATCCTCCAAATCCAATGTCCTATGAAACATCATTAGTACACAACTACGTTTTGTACCAACATCATGAAAGAAAATATTAAAGCTCACTTCTAAATTCCATCAGCTTCCTGTGCAGGTAAAGCAGAAAAATGGGCTCCTTTTGCAGGCAATTCACAGCAGAAACTTGTCACAGTCATTCTGAATCTCTCCTCAGGGAAGCCTTCCATCGACTATGAAGGGAGCATAATCAAAATAGTTAGCTTTTTGGAATACCTCTGTTGCTTTGCCAAAAAGATGACTGACATGTTATTCTTCTACTACTAGGTTTCCTAGCAATTTAGGATGTGTGAACTCAGGCTTGGAACTTGGGGCATATAGAGGGCTCTGGTTTCTATGGCATTACTATGGGATTGTCAGCACAAATTGAGGATATGTTTTTGAACCAAGACATTTCTCAATGCCTGGAACTACATTTTTCCATCTCACTGAAATCTTTCTCAGCCATACCATCATGTTTTGTGGACATCTGTATAGCTATGCATGTCACATCCTTTTAAAAACTGATTTTCTGAATCAGAGATTATCCACAATTTATTCATAAAAACAAATATTTTTTTTCAAGACACAGGTCGTAAATACAACCATAAATCACAGTGAAATGGCTCAATAAAAGCATTAAAAGCTCCATTGCAAGACCAAGAACTCTATTTCCATGTAGTTAGGACAAAGTTTCTTAAGTGCTGCAAAAAAAAAAAAAAAAGGGGGGGGTTATAATGGAAATCAGCAAAAAGTGGTATGGACTTTTTTCAAGCAGCAGCATACATTTATGAAATACATTTTCTTGGGGGTTTCCTACTACACAAAAGGTTGAATCAAACTCAGGTATTTAGTGTTCATGGCCTGAAAGCAAGAAGGGATTAAACTCTAGATTGCAACTTAGAAGAGGGTAAACCTCATTTATTCTGAAATAAGTATTGCATTTCTTTATCACTGTTTATTTGAACTCTCAACACAGAAAACTTTCAAGTCACAGTCCTTAACAGCTGTTGCATACATTAGCACACTCAACACAGTATTTCCATAGCCCGTTTCAAGTCCATATTCTTTCACTAGGTGTCTAAATCTTTTCTTGTGGCATGGAGAGAATTAAGTCACTGTTATTTTATTCACTAAACAATCAAGGTTAAGCCTACAAGTTAAAAAAATAAAACCTACAAGTGAAAAATATCAGAAAACTACATTATTATTATAGTTCTCAAGTTACATATATTGCTATTGTTAAACAAAATATGCTTGAGGTAATAACAAGAATGTGTGCATAGTACATGAGTTATGGTCCTGACTTTCACTTCCTAGGCCACATGTAACTATTACTTCCTCAGGGAATAAACATTTCCACTCTGTAAAGGACTATATGGTGCAGTAAGTAATATAGACCCAAGCCTATTGTAACATATTGCACAAAGGTCAGGGATAAATTTGCTTAAAGAATAACAACTTGGAGACAAATCCTAGCACCACCTGATGCGAGACAAGTAGTCAAGTTTATTAGAAGTGATTTAGTGAAGTTTGAATGGGCTTCATTAACCAAGGCAATTTGAAGTGCACCTCCACATAAAGTGAATGTACATAAACATCTTCAAATTAGCTGTGTTCAACACGCAGCCTCTTCCATCTGTACTAACAAGAGAAAATTTAAAGTAAGCATTTTGTTGCTAGAGAAAAATAGAGGAGGAGGCAATGCAAGCCAAATGAGAAGTAGGGCAAGGAAAATCAATTTTTCATCAACTGTGGGGTGAATAGTTTTAAACTAAGTCACGTAGATTCTAATCAGTACCAACAGAAAAATTATTCCTCTGCACTACACTGCAAAGATATAGCACCAAATTCATGATAGAGGAGACTTTAAATTTTGTTGGAAATTCTGTGAAATAAGAAGAAAATACCATGCAATTTATAGGTCCCTAGAAAGCGGATAGAAGGGGCCTTTGACATGACACTTGTGATAAGTGTATTTAACTTCAAGATAGCTAATGCCCTGAGCAAGTATAGCAACAGCGAAGATGATGTATTATTTTAAATTCTTTGCATAGAAGCCAAAAAACTAATTGTGACATGTTAGCTCAAAACAAGAAAGGATTTCATTACATTGCAGATGGCCTGAGCAAAGGGAATATGTGACACAAAAGGAACTGTGATGAGATTACAAAATGTATCAGAACTGTTTTGATTAATCTCATCTGGGGAGCTTTAAGAAATAGACGCTACACTAGACTTAAATTAGAGGAATGACAAGCATATAATTCTGAACTTCTGCTTCTTCTGCTGCTTTTACAGCATATCTCCACTTTATCCAATGGTTTTATTGCTGAAGGATTTTCACATGCTTAAATTATACTTCCTTGGACATCATGATGTGTGCTGTGTCTCCAGAAAACTGTGCTGCTCAAAAAGCTACACACATCCCACACTGACACTGTCCTTTTTTAGTTACAGCTCCTTCTGTTAGGAACTTCAACGTAGTTTTAGGTCTTGAGGAGATATGGTGTTTATTCAGAGATCACTTTGGAGTAGTTTTCATTTCTTCTCTACCCAAGGTGCTCTGATACCACTTTCCCTCTACTCAGCTTTGGGAAGATTTTCTCAAGAATTTGGTCATTTCAAGCATAATTCACTCCTGGTCTGCCGCATCTCTCGCTGTAACATCCACGTCCCCATGGCATTTGGTACACAACTGAAAAACTGTTAAGACAAAAAGAACAATTCTCTACTATAACCCCTGTATTGGGCATAGATTTCAGGGGTTTGGTACAGGGATAGCAATTGTGACCTGTGTGGGAGGAGGCCTTGAGCTGCCCTGTGCCAGTCACAGCCATTTCCACTCAACTCTTACATCAGCATGTCACATCAGCTGAGAAGTACTGAGTCAAGGTACAGAAAAAATTCTATATCCTGGTCTCCACATAGAGGAAGTCCAAATGTGTGGCCCAGTTGCCAGATGAGTGACACTCCAAAGCAGCCCCAGTTTGCATAATCACGCCGTAGCAAGTAATTGAGGATGAAATTTCAAATATGGATAAACCCAAATGAGTTGATCAAGAATCACTTTCTATTTGACTGTCCAGCATACACAAATCCTAATGAAAACATTTGTTTCAGTGCAGAATATGAGTTTGCAGGTGTTTGAAAATCAACAGTCCTCAGGTTTGAGGAAATGCTGTGAGTGCTGGAATATCAGCTCGATGTTACTATGACCCAGAGTAAGCCACTAGCAAAAAAAGGAAGAAACCTCAGCAAGAACACCAGTGTTTTGTTTTCACTGAAAACAGATGCACTTTTTTACCTCATGTGAGCCATAACAAACCATAAAAAACCTAGATGAAATCAATTTTCCCAAGCATCAATTAAGCATAGTCTCCCCCCCCATTTCAGTCTTTAGCTCAGTTATGTCCTGTCATCATAAGGATATTACCATACAATAATGAGCATATTTTTATGCACAGATGGGAAAAGCATGCCTTGTCACTTAGTGAATACATCAGATTAGCTCTAGGCTTTACATAGCCACAGTAGAACTTGGTGAAAAGCAGCAGTGGGAAGTCATTAGTGTAGTGGGCTGTACAGGGTACCCTGATCTCCTCTGCATGAAATAAACTGCTGCTGGCATAAGCAGAAAGCAAGAGCAGGTAACTTAAGTTTCCTCTTAGGATGAATTAAGTGATGTGAAAAAGCACTATGCTCAGTAAAGATCTAAATGTCTGGCTTCAGCTCAGAAATAGAATTAGAGTTGTTTCCTTCCATTGATTTCCAGTACATAAAGCTTTATTTCTTTTTGTTTTAATTAGCACACAGAACCCAGCACCTTCAGGTTTCCAAAGAAATGAGTATGCTGAGGCCCAGCTTCAAGAGATTATCAAAAAATTGCGGGAAAGGTCAAATATCTATAAGGAAAAGCTGAACGACCCAGTGCTGTCTTCACCTGAAGGCAGTCCTACAGCTTGTAAGTGACTCTCAAAATAGCTGTGAATTTGTTGAGCTTAAAACTTGAAAATTATTTTATGGGAACAGAAAATACCGTGATAAATTTTTTGTAAGTATAGTGTATTTATCCACTGAAAAGGATCAGTTTGCACCCCACTGAATTCAATTTATCCATAGTTCTCTACAATAAGCCAGGTCCTTAGATACAAGCTCCCTTTGAACTCCATCGCTGAAGATTTATATTGCTGAAATTTATAGAGGCAATATCTAGAATCATTCCTGTCAAGAAGCTCTCTGGATTTTAAAATAGCTCCCAAATATGTTTATTCACAGAGATGAATCAGAGACATATGAAGAAACATACATATATTATGAGTGGATATTAGTCACTATGATGAGATCTGCTGTGTAAATAAAGTAAATAAAAATCTTACCCTTAACAGCAATCTTCTGGACACACTGAGGACTTTAAATCCAGGCTTTGAATGGATCAGACTCAGCTGATGTTAATTAATCATTGTTTTTTTAAAAAATATGAAACATAAAACAAATCAATATTTTTCCTCTTCAGAGGAAAGTCTGACTTTTTTCTCCTTTTCACAAAGAATTGAATGTGGTGATTCTATGTTCTGAAACTTTTTAGAAGCTGTTTATATCTTATGTGCTTTTTAAAAAACTGTAAAAAAGGGTGCATGAAGAACTATAAATTATACCATCTGATAAAGGAATCCTTTTCTTTTTAATTATTTCTTTGCTCATTTACCTCATTTGTTCTCTTTGTAGAACTTAAAATCATTTATTTCCTAAATTATTACAAATCTAGTTTACCAGTTTACTGTTAAGCATGTGTATCCTAACCAGAATTAAGAGCATACATGTGTGGACAACATTATCCAGCCCAAAGAAGAAAGAAGTGGGCTCAAAGGAGTGCCACAAGACTTTTATAAGCCTAGAAATATACAAAACCATAGGCTTCCCTCTAGTTTCACCTACTGTGTCTTGTATATCAGGTCTCAGGAGAAGGGAGAGATCAGCCCATGACACAGGTGTCTTTTCCTATCTCCATTCTCACTGCATGCATTCTTTGCAACAGTCATGGAAAGAGAAATGCCCAGTTGCATTAAAGAATGCTGAATTATGAATTAACCTTTTCTTATACGTCTTATAAAAGGCATAACTTGTGGGCACTGTTCAGGGAAATAGAGCAATACAGATATACTCTGTAACGTAAGTGCCCTGTTCATGATAGCTGATGCACACGTTTATGCCAGTAGTGATTTCATTCTCCAATTCTTTTTCTAATGCATTTAGTATAATAAACTGCAATCTTAGTCACTGCCTAGTGTTTTTAGAAGAGATTTTAACATGATGAAGTTCTTGTCCATGTTAAAACAGGGTGTGGTTATTGAACCATTATTAAAATGCCACCCTTTGTGGCATCCTATGTGTCTAGCACCAAAGAAACCACCCCCACCAAAAGAAGAAAAAAAAGAAGAAAAAAAAGAAGAAAAGAAAGAGGAGGCAGAAGCAAAGCCAGAGGAGGATCATTACTGCGATATGTTGTGCTGTAAATTCAAAAAACCCCCGCTGAAAAAATACATGGAACATCTGCAGCTACCAGAGACCATAGACTCATACACAGGTAAATTAAAAGCTATGCAACAGAATGGGGTAAACACTTATTGAAGTGACCTGGTGTTACATAGCACCTGTGAGCCACCATAAGATACACATTCCAGTTTGCAACTCAGAGGGATGCAGGGGTCCTGCCCTAAACAACATCTTTCCAAACAGGAAAAAGACATGAAAAGCGACACCAGTTGCAAAGATGGTATGCACAAAGATGGTATGCAAACCAACTACAATTAGAATTCAAGTTTCTTGATCTAGAATTTGTACCATTCATTAGGGCCAAATAATTCTTTTGTCAGTTATAACACACATGAACAGCATGCAAAATGGTAGTATGAAATTTCTTCGGACGCATAAAATTCTACATGTTCTCATTACCTCATCTTTTTTCCTATTTGCAAATTCTTTATGTGACTCCTAGTTCCATCTAAATCACTTTAGCAGTGTGTAGCCTTGAAAAAGGGAGAATGTTAGGTTGCTCTGGACAGAATCATTCCAAGAGACTGCAATAAATGTGTCTAAAAGAATGACAATAGACTCGAAGTTCATGCCTGTAAGTTCAATGTTTTTTCTTTCAGATCGCCGTTACGTAGGATGGCTCATGCTTGTGACAATCGCCTATAACTGGAATTGCTGGTTTATTCCCCTTCGCTATGTGTTCCCATATCAAACCCCAAGTAACGCAATATATTGGTTTGCCATTGATGTCATTTGTGATATTTGCTACCTCTGTGACTTACTGATTTTCCAGCCCCGAGTGCGATTTATAAGAGGGGGAGACATAATAGTAAGTACTGGAGGTGGGATTTCCATAGGTAGTAGATGTGTGTTAAAGTAGAATGTAGAAATTCCTCCAATCTGACACTTTTTCTTCTCACTATGTCAAATTATGTAACTTTTTCTTCTTCATTGACCTGCCATTCTTCACTGACCTTCCATTCTTCTATGGGGGGGAAAAAACATAACCATTGCCTACATTCTTAAAAATAGAAAAAACAGATTTGAAAGTAACAGATGAGAGCAGTTGAAACAAGCATATAGTCCTCAAAAGGAGTAAATTGGTGAAGTTTAAGTTGAATCAATGATTACATCACATGTACTCATGCATATATACATCTGTTTGTATGTTTGTGTGAAAGTTTGACCTTTCTATTCCCCTTATACCAGAATCATAGTCGAAGACAGTGCATATTCTGCTAGGGTTGGACAGGAAAGGATGTTTTGTAAAAGACTGTGAAATTGTGGGTTTATTTTTTTCTAAAGTCAGAGCAAATCCTTGTAATTTTTAGGATACTTTGAAAATAATTAATTTGAGATATTATCTTTTGGGAAAATATGTACATTCAATTTTAATTCTTACTATTGTTTTTGGTTTATCTTTTTATAGAAAAATCCAAAATAAAATTTTAAGCAAGTATCTGAAAAGGGGTGAAAGTTTGCCCTTAATATACCAAAAGGACATCTAGAATATTAACTTTTCTTTAAAATCTTCCTTGCTTTTGATTCTCTAACTTCTTATAGAAAAAAAATATTTTGGAAAAAAAATTAGTTTTGATAACTTCAGCCTGACATTACTGTGTCCAACAGACAGAAAATTCAAAATTATATATCCTCAAATGTAATTTGGAACTAGCTTTAACAGTGTTTTTACATAAAATTTTATACATTGTACATACACATTATTACTGATACCCTTAGAGATAAAGCTGTGCAAATATCATTTGAATAGATATTAAATGCAATGCAGTGTAATGTAGTTTCCAGACCAAGACATTCAGCAACTGGCAGTCTTGTCTAAATCCCACAAAACTCAATTTTTATGAGCAAAGTTAAAGCTCTAACATAGGAAGCTTACATTGTATTTCCCTTGAAGCTGTTTCTACAATTCATAGATTTTAGCACACAAAGAGATCATCTACTGCCTGATCTTCTGCGTTTAGTTTAATGCTTAAACTGATAATAGTGAAAGTTGGCATGAAAATATGCTTAAGATTTTAAAGTTCTTTTTAAAGTGTCTCTGATATAAATACAGAAAGTATAAAAATAGATAATTTTTTTTAGATACTTGTGATTACCCTTTCTTATTAAGGTATTAGCCTCAGTTCCCGTGAAGAACAGATTAAAAATGAATAGCTAATCACTGCTAATGAATGCAATGATGATTATTATAATGCTAATAATGCTAGCATATTAATGCTAGCTTTTCAAGAGCTGATTTTGTACAACACCATCAGAAACACTCTTTGCATTTTTCTTGGAATCACTGCAGATAAATGCAGTTTTTCACCCTGAAATTGAAGGGGTTTGGGTCAAGCACTAAATGGTATAGATGTCTTGAGAGGAAAGTTTTGTGGGGAAAAAATGTAAGGAACAGATTGGAAAATATCAGACAAATCCCAAGCCTCATTTTTTCAAATAGTTCTAATAAAATCTGATCTATTGTAAACTGGACTAATAAAAGTACTACTTCTCCCTCCATTCATACTTTTAGACTATCATTAATTTAACTGTCATCATCCCTACTATCAGTAGATAATTATTATTGTCGAGTAGCAGAGGCTAATTCTTGACATTCTGTTCTTGACTTTGTCTTTTTCTCCATTCATTATCACTGTAGATAGATAAAGTGGAAACGAAAAAATTCTACCACAGCACTGTGAAATTTCGGGTAAGTAGACCCTGTGTTACTGATATCAATATGAAGTTCTTTGTGCTCCCCCAGATTGCTTTAGGCAGTCTGGTTTTAGAAGCTGAAGGACTTTTAAGATGTACTTGTGGAGTGGTCTCCCACTCACCAGCCACATTTTAGTTTTATCAGAACTACAACTGAAACAACAGCATGCATTAATAATCAAATCTACGAGATACTATTTATAATCCCCATGAAACAGATTAAGATCTCAAGCAGAGAGAACTTAAAAGCAGGGCAAAGCTGTTGATGTTTTCAAAGAGATAATCTTGCCTGTCAGTGCTTTGGGAAGCTACATGTTTAGCATGCTGACTCTTCAAATATTATTACAGTCATGATTCAATCTAAGCAAGTTTTTGACAGCAAATAAATGCATGATGATTACTATGAAGTTTAAATTGACCTCTCTACTCTTCAACAGCTTGATGTGATATCAGTATTGCCATTTGACATTTTATACTTCTTCTTTGGATTTAATCCAGCACTTAGAGTAAACAGGATGCTAAAGGTAAGCTCTGTGTTAGTGATGGATGGCTAACCATGCATAAATGTTTTGCAACTCAACAGAAAGTTTTTTAGAATATTTAGGAATATGAAATTTAGAAATTGTAAAATATCTTCAGGCTAAGGTAGAATATCAGTAAATAAACCAACAAAAAATACAAGTCATAGTCTAGCCAAATTGTTCTCTTACTTTTCTTCCAGCTTTTAATTCCTACTTTCAAAAGATGTTTTGTAATTAAAGCTGGGGTTTTTTACATAATTTAAATTAAATTTATCTCAAATTACCTGCTTAGTTTTCAAAGATTAAAAAAAATCACTCATTATTGCTAATGATTTTTCCTCTTCTGTTTGTTATGACTGGTGTTTAAAAGCAAAGGAAGGAATTTTAAGGACGATATAAACTATGCACAGAATATTTATCAAGCATAAACCCACTTTTTTATTGAGCCAAAGACACCTGGAATTGTGTAATGAAGGGTCTGCAAAGGGATTAGAACATGGTACACAGCAGGCTTCTCCGCAGCTAAATACATTTCCCTTCATACAATCAATATGTTGACAAAGAATCGTCTTTCATTTAACATTGTGGGGGAGACACAAGAACTCTGATAATAAAATGAGGGTGTTCTTCACTTCAATATTCAACAAAATTTCAACATTCCATAAATCAGAACCGAAATAACATGAAAGAATGGAAAGTTAAATAGGACCCCATATTAGGCAAACAGATGTGTACTGAACAAAAACAAAGAAAAATCTATATAAAAATATATACAAATACTAAAAGCTATCACTAAAGGTCAAGGACAAATACTTAATAGGAAGAATTTGATACAGCTGCAGTTGATACCACATAGAATCATCTAGTATGTGGCTGTTGATACATACAGTCACTTACTGGAGAACTACTGGAATTTCAGAAAAAAGAAAAAAGGAGGGTTAATGCATGTAATTCTCTGTGACCAAGCTGTCCAAGCAATCATATACGTTCAAGGAAGTAGAAGTCATTTTATCTGCAGCAGTCTGACCAAATCAGCAAGGTTATTTCTGTAGTCAGATTAATGGGACACTTAACACCCAAAAAACCATTTAACTGAACTTTTACCTTTGCTTTTCAGTTCACCATTTAGTTAAATGTTTGTCATGGTTTAGGAATGGTATTCTTCAATTTAGTATTCCCACTAAAAACCATACGCTGCTCCCCCCCCCCTCCAATTGGAGGCACAAAACGCAAAGATCACATGTTGAGATAAGAACAATTTACTGGAAAAAACGAGATAAGAAAATGAACAGCAACAGTACAATATTAATAACAAAAGATATAAGAGAGAAATTATTCACATGGTAAAACTCCTCAATTAATCGACAATACCACGCAGCTCCCCCCACCACGTTTGCTCAATCAGAAGGAACTGCTTCTCTCTGGAATGGAGCCCCTTTCCTCCACCCCCAGCAATGAGGTGAGGTGATACAGAATAACCTCTGGGTCCTCGCCATGTCCCTCCTGGCTACTGCAAAAATTAACCCTGTCCTGGCTGGAACCAGGACAATGTTTAAAGAAAGCTTGATTGTTGAAAAATCCATTTTCAAAATATGTATGTGAACTAATGTCTGTACTATTATAAAAAGATGTGTACTCAAGAACAGTGACTGGATTGCTTTCATTTTTTTCCCATTCAGCATAACACATTCTTTGAGTTTAATGATCGTTTGGAAGCTATTATGGAAAAAGCATACATCTACAGGTATGTGCTGATAAAACTTGAGTAGCATGCAGAGTTGGGCACAGAATCCATTTCATATGATCCAAATCACATGATTTTATGAGTTGTCGGTTAAGCGCTGGATGGAATATGATATGTCTTTAACTGTTCAATTTAAGTTTTTTAAAATATGTCTTTACTGTAATCTTTAAAATAATATATGTAAGGCTTCACTCACATATGAAATCTAGCTCAGTTCAGTTGGCCTAGTTCAGACAAAATATTTACCAAACTGAGGCTCCTGCCAAAATTTAATTGATCAAAAGTATCAGAAAGAAGTTTCTTTAGTGAAAGAACTAAAGAAGTTTCTTTAGGTTGCTAGTAGCAGTTCCAAATCCTCAGTAGCTGTTTATTTGTACTTAATAAGAGTTATGATCTTGAGCCTGTGTCAACATTTTTCTTCAAACATGCTCTCCCTATGAACCTGGCATGTACAGAAGCTTGATCCTTCACTGCATTGACTACATTTGGAATAAGGACCAACTCAGCACAATTCTCAAATAGCGATTATAAATGTTGTCTACTGTGTTCTCACTTTCTGCATTGACAGGAAGAATTTTGGATGCAGCTCAAGCAGTCCATGGACATAGTTATGGCAAGTTTCATAGGCCCCTCAGCTGTCACTGATGCTGCTAAGACCCAATGAACCCATCTATTCTGTCACCATTATTGTCATCTACTGTCAACATCATCAGCCCTAGTTTATCTTGTGCAATTTCTACACCAATAGATTCTTTTCTCTGTGCCAGTTTTGGGCTATGTATTGTTCCTCTGTGTTGCTGATGCAGAAACAAGAATATGTTGTTTACCATCTTACTCTATTTCAGAGATTATTGCACTTAATGGTACATTTGATATTTATACATTTAAATGGGATGTTTTATGAGATTTTAAAACTAGTTAAATATGAAAAGGAGGTTGAAACATCATCTCTTTCATATTTTCATGTACCTGTGAAATAAAACGGAAGTTTGAAAGTTCTATGAAAGTATTTTTGAGATGTTGACCTTCATAAAGCTTATTCTTATGTAAGAATATAGACTGATATTCTTATATAATGCCCTCTCTTTTCAGTTATGGAAGACTCTTTTGTGGTTTGTTTGGGTTTCTTTTATTTTCTTTTTTTTTAAATTCTTGATGGTTCAAGAGAGGATTTTTCTGAATTTCCACAGATGTCAGTGTCTGAATCATTGCCTCTCTATCTTCTCCATTTTCTAATTTCATTTAAAAGAATGGGTTTTCTTCTGCTTATGGTTTTTAACTTTTTCTAATGTTGATAAGTTTTAGAGGTAATTGTTTTTAAATTAATTAAGTATTTTCCATATTATGTCTTTTGCATTTTGGAGTAATAACTCAATGACTTTTCTATATCTCCTATAATGTTTGCAGTGAGTATTAGGAGATAAAGTTTTTATATACAGATAATTCTGGATAAAGTAACTAGTTTGTATATAACAATAATGTTGTGTCTACATGGATTTCAAAGAAATGGGAACAAATTTGCAAGCTCATTTTCACTAAAATAAACAACTTTACAAGGAACAGAATTTCCCACTATATAAAGGGACGGAATGGGAAATGATTGTTCAGAGAAGTTGAGAAAGGGATGTGAGCAAGATCTCACTGGTCCTGTGAAATATATACAGCAGATGGAAAGACAGAGACAGCTACTCTGCAAAGCTCTTTGCCTTATTAGACATTTCTTTAGCATGTTATTGGTTGAGTTTCCACAACTGTGTGTTGCTTCTGGTGTCTTTGCTTTGCCTGGTCCCAGGCCCACTTAGATTTTCAGTATTAAATCACTTGCAGAATGTAAATTCCAGAATCTAAATATTACAAAGTGAATCTATTTTCTACCTCATACTTCAGAAAGCACCAACTCCTGATTTGCTCATCGGCAAATGGAGAACAGGGGTAGTTATACAGAAGAAGAACATAAGCGGGAGCTAAAAAGTCTAAAAAAGTCAGGCTTTTTGTGCAAACTACTGCATTTTATTTTAATGTAGCAATGTTGCTTTGGTCTGAGATCCTGGTATAGTCATAATTTGAGCAATAAATCACCAATTAACTAAATAATATCAAACTAAACTTCTACACGGCAAGTGTACGTACGTGGGTGGATTCTCTTCTCAAACTAACTAGTTTGAGTTTGTAGGAATAGAGCTGGCAAAGGTTACTTACATTTTATCTACCCATTGTGATAGATTCAATATGTGTCTAGAGAAATATAAAATATATTGTAGCAAAGGCTTCCAGAATCTTCACTCAGATCTCAGAAGTCCACTTGAACGGATTCAAATTTGTACACAAGACTTTGTATGGTCGATATTGCAATATTACTAGATCACAGCAGCTATCTGCTGTTCTCCATAGCTTGCAATCCTGAACAGAGCTGTCCTGGAAGCACATCAACTTTTAAACAGAGAAGTGGCATTCATTTGTCAGTATCACAAAGAAGAAGAGGACACTTAGGTAGATTGCTTAATGGCACGGAGAGGTCAAGGAGGGCATGCAACAGCACCTGAAGAACCAGCATAATACAGAACCAATCACAGTAATGGTTGATATCTCCCATTAACTTGGTTTATAGATCAAACATATTTAGATCTTATTAAGTTTTCATAAAACCACATACTCAGTTATTCTGCGCTCCAAATTGTGTTGAATTCTAGCTGTAGCAGATAAACTAATTACATACCAGCTTCTCTATGTTTAGGCAAGTCCTGTACTTTTCCTGCTTATTTATCCCCTGCTTGTATGAATATTTGAATGGAGACTTAAATCCAGGAGATCTTTCTTTTGATCCCCATTCACTGAACAGAGGATATACAATGAGATCATTATTGTATAAAAGAGAAAGCTGCTTGGTAGTTAAGTAGTTCATCATTGGTATTCTTCAAAGAACTGGCCATAAGCATAAGAACTGGGATTAGGAGTGATGTAACTCCTGCTGTAACACTAAATTTGAGAGAATCTACTGCAGGCTTCCTAGCACAGCTCTTTCAAAGCAGTTCATTTCTGACCTCAGACATTTCTCAGCTTTGGTTCTGAAGTTTAGAGCCTATCTTGAAGAGAGTTTGTCAAATGCATTAGTTTGTACCCTCTAGCCTCACTAATGTAGCTTCAAATTTGTGTAAATATTCATAGCCATTTAAAGAAGTTGATTATAAACTCCTCAGGGAACCATAATTTAACAGTTACCCCATGTCAAATATTCTAGGAAAGACATTTTTTTGACTTTAGACAAATGTGAGAGATGGGTAACTGCCAGCAATTTTTTTCATAGAATCAGTACAGATGGGGAACTACCTACTAGACATGTAATATTAACATTGTTGATGCAAAAAAGGTATGGGTTCTAAATTAAAACGAAGGAAAAATGTAAGTTGTTTTACAGGAATCTGTTGCCTTTTATAGGGTCATTCGAACAACTGGATACTTGCTGTTTATCTTACACATTAATGCATGCCTGTATTATTGGGCTTCAGACTATGAAGGACTTGGCAGCACTAGATGGGTGTACGATGGTGAAGGAAACATGTAAGTCCTTTTCTCTTGCAAGAGATTTTTGTTAATTTTGCTCCTTCCTGCCTCCCCCTCCTTTTCCCAAGCCTTTGCTTGCAGGGTATGCCCTTACTTTACAAGTGCTTGAATAGCAAACTTTTAGCACCATGACTGCTGATTAGCAGCTTTCATTACAAACATATTGGGAGGGCAGGTGCAGTGAATAATCAGTTTACCACTTTCAGCTTTTATAGGTTTATGAGTCAGTGTAAAGCACCAACTTAATTAAACATTTAGAAAGTAACAAGGGTCATAAATTAAACTTACTGATTGCATATCACATGGGAACCATTCAAAGGATTATATAGCAATCCCTCAAAGGAAAGAGAGGAATAGTTTAGTGGAGTTTTTTGCTGCCACACAGCATTGTACCACTAAAGTGCAATATTTTAGTCCCTCTACGCTGTGGTGATTGGTCTGAAAAAATTCCACCAACTTTCTCTCATCTTTTGGGAAGATCATGCTTAAAAATGTGGCAGAGTGTAACCAGTGGGAAGGACAGAATATTGGCACACCTTTCCACACTCTCCTTATGAGAACACTAGGTTGGGCACCAAATAAGGAACATTTATTAAGATGATTAAGAGGAACTAAGAGAAAATAGCAAAATATATTTTGTGTGTAGTTTTATAAAAACATATCTCATCGGTTCAGTTCTATGAACATTTATTTATTTCAAAAGTCATAATATAAAGACAGAAGTTCAGTTTGTTCATTAATTACATTCTTTGCAAAACCACATATCTTACTGCTGTCATAAACCTCCTTTTAAAGAACCTTTCACCCTTTCCTTGGACATGTGCTCCTGTCTGCAGTTTTGTCAGACTTCACAAGTTTAATGTGAAGTCACTATCTTGAAGGATAAGAAAAGAGGCTTTGAAAACAAAACAAACTTCATATAAAGCAGCACTGATTTTTTTATAATTAGGATTATATCTCAAAAAAAAATTACATGTCTGAAGTTTCCACACACCACTAAAACACAGCTTCAGTACTGCAGTCAGGCATTTGAAAGCAGGGTCATGGAGCTCAGTGGGACCACTTATGTAAATGGAGTTACAGACAGGTATTTATTTGCAGGATCAAGGCTTCCAGAAATCTGACAAGAAAAATGCAAAACTAATTTCCATTATAGATATTTTTGTTAATGTCATTCTTGGGAATATTTTCCTCATAATTAAAAATAAGGTAAGTAAGACTAAAAAAACTTGAAAATTCTGAAATTAGAGTTTACTTGGTCTTCAAGTTTTTTAATGCTTCTTCAAAAAAGTTTAGGGAACAGGAAAGAAAGTCTTCCTAGTTTTCACAGACAAAAATCTTTGGCATTTCACTCAGAGAAACAATTGGTAGAAATTATTTACTACTTTGATCACAGACAATGCATTTGTACCCAGAGACAATGGCCGGGTTTTTTAATATTTTGTGATATCTCTTCCATGAGGAGACAAAAACATTTCTCAAATGAAGTCACACTGAAATCGCATGGAATTTAGGGCAGATTTATTTTATAAACAATAATAATAAACCGGTAATTCAAGATCTGCATTAAACTGAGATGCTTAAATAAAATACATATTAGGATGTGCGTATATCTTAACACAAGAAAGCTGTTGACCTATTGGAATGAGTCCAGAGGAGAGCTACTAAGTTAACCACAGGAGCACCTGTCCTATGAAGAGAGGTTGGGAAACTTGGGACTGTGCAGCCTAGAGAAGAGAAGGCTCTGAGGAGACCTTACAGCAGCCTTCCAGTATCTAAAAGGGCCTACAAGAAAGCTACAGTGTGACTTTTTTACAAGGGCATGTAGAGATAGGACAAGGGGGATGGCTTTAAACTAAAAGAGGGAAAGTTTAGATTAGATATTAGGGAGAAGTTCCTTACTATAATGGTGGTGAGGTACCGGAACAGGTTGCCCAGAGAGGCCAGATTGGATGGGAGTCTGAGTGAAATCTGTTCTAGTGGGTGGTATTCTTGCCCATGGTAGGGGTGTTGATCCCTTCCAACCCAAATCATTCAATGATCCTATGATTCTATCATATATCCATGTAAACCTCATTAAACCATTAATTTACCTCATCTTGACATTGCTTGGTGAATTTATGACTTTGTTCTTTTGCCAGTATCTAACTCACACTGGATTATATGGTGTCATGTACATGGAACCCCAAAGAACCCAGGCTGAGCTGCATTTAATAAAGTATAGCTTTGTATCCCACTAACAGCAAATGCCTTCTGTATGGAATAGTCATTGCCTTAGAGAATCAGGCATGATATATTATCTAATTGTCAAATATTCAGGGATTTTTGACAGAGAGTCACTGTGTGAACATTAGTTACAATTGGAGATGCAATCTGAACTTAAACCTATCAAATAAGATACTTCCAGGTATCTAGGTATCCATTTTTTTGGAGAGCAGGATTTAAGAACAGTATGGGGAAAATCTGTCATGAAAATTTACCAGTGCTGCAGAATATATTATGGTACAACATAATTTCCTTTCACATAGTATTCAGGGTTGACAATATTTGAAGCAAAATAGTCTCACAAAGAATGGGAACACATTCAGAAAGAAGATTAGGCAAACATAGCTACCTAGCTAATTTTAAAAAATGACAGTAAGTAGTCTGACAAATAAACCAAAATTCTAGTGGTCTCAGATTACACTGACCCAAAGCAAATGATCTGGCACTCATTTAGTGACATTAATGTTTTATGAAGAATCCCTGCTGTGTCCATAAAATATTGCTAGTTATGGCTAAAACCAGTTCTTAAAAATGTCAACACTTCTAGGATACTTTTTTTTCTTTTCCAGGCTAAAAAGAATAAACAGGCAAAAGATTCCTTTATCAATTTGATTACATATATGTTACTGAGAAGGTATACTAAGTGATTAATTAAATCCATAACTAACAGCTGCATACACACTCAAACCATGAGAAAAATTATCAAAATAGCTCTTTTGCAAATCTCTGCTATCTCTATTCTTTTCCAGTTCTTGTCCAGATTCTAAAGCGTTAGTGTCAATCCAAAAAGATTTGAGCTTTTTTGCAGGGCAGCCTACAGTCAAAGCCTGACGTGCAAAAGGTAGTCTTTACTTTACTTTACTTCCCTGCAACACACCCAAATTAGCCACACAAGGTGTTCCCAGCATTAAAAGTGCACTCACGAGCTTGATATAATTAGGCAGACAGACCTCGCCCTCCCCTAATGCAGAAGTGCAGCATCACTACTGCGACACCATAGTGTAGAGTCTATGTAAGCACAGTAGCATGATATTGAAAAGGCCTCTTAATTAAGTGGAGAATTTGAACTGTATGTGTTTATTTACAATCTAATTTAACTACCTAAGAGATCAGTGTCCCTAATTCCTGGGGAAAATGGACAAATCCTTTAGAAAAGGATTCAAGGCAGGAATGTAATATCATTGTTCTGATTTGTCAGAAGGAAGTATCTCTCTTTCATCACTGTCCCTAGAGAAACTAAAACTAGGGAGGTGAAATTCTCATGCATACCCTCCAGGTCAGCAGTAAATTTAGGCAAAACAAATAATTTCATTTTCCTCATGGTATACTTCTGCTGTTTGCAAGTCATCCACAAGCAATCTGCAAAATTCTTTCAGACACCTATTTGCATCTCAATTATGTTCCTCTTTAGCTTGCTGCCCTCCTGCTCTGGGCACAGACTTAGTGGACATCTGTAAGTCCCAGAAAATGGTCACTGTATGTGTCTAGAACAACTCCACTTCTTTAGTATGCATTGTCCAATGAGCAGTGAGTTTAGTGTATTTTAAAATGGACTTTCATGAAAAAGATATTTCTATTGGCATAATATTATAAGGTAACTGATTTGCAGTGTTCCTGAATGTTTTCATACCCTGGACTTATTTTAGGGAAAAAATCTAATAGTTTGATTGCCTGAAGGATAAACATACTCTCTATGATGAGCAGAGGGAAAAATCCCTTTCTTGTCTCATGTTGTTTGCTTCAACAGTAAATTTATAGCAGGGCAGTAAGCTGTATGGTGAACAGTGATGGTTTCCAGACACAAGCTAGTAGGAAGCAGAGCTGCTAATACTGTTGAAATAGGAGTCTGTTTTTCCTGGGTTTCCTTAAACAAAATTTACAATCTCATTTCTCCCTTTATTAGGGAAGAAAGCAAGCTGCTCTGTATTTCAACTGTGTTACTTTCAGATTAAAATAAAACCAAAAATGCATAAATGGAGAAAACCTGTCCCTAAGAGATAGTGAATATCATGTGACTTTGCCAGTAGAAAGTTTCTTTTTAAGTAAAATTAAAGAAGAATATAGTGTATTAACTACATCTTCAGAAAGGAGTAGGAAGATGCCAAAAATCTCTCACGCTTTGTATATACAACAATGCAAAGAAAAATTCCTTTGAGGAGCTGCTTTCATTCTGTGTAGACATTCTGAGAAATAAGATTATATTTTCTATCATGGTGGAGTCAGGAAGCCTAGCATGCAGGGCCGTTGTAGGTGAAGGAGTTAGTTAATTACTTTTGTTTCCTATAGTAACTAGAACAGAAGTAATGTTAATTTCTTTACTTTTATATTACTAAATTATACATGTTTCAAGCACTACAGCATTCTCAGTTATGGCAAACAAATATGATATTAATATGCCTTATATGGTAATTCCTATTAGCCAAACTAGAGGCATCGTTTTATACTCAAATCTGTCATTCTTCCAAAACAGATCTGCATCTTTTTCATACTATTTTTTTATGCTACAGAACTCTAGGATAAAGCTGCAAGTTATGCATACTTAGTTGGAAACATGCATATTTGATTTTTTTTTTTAACCCAGATGAAAATATTATAGTGGTATAAGCCAGAGGTTCATTTTGCATCCCTAACACATAAAAATGATATGACAGCAAATATGCAATGAATTTTTTAATTTAAGGACTCTAAATGAAAATGGCCAGTTCTGGCTGTTAAAATTGAAAACTAGAAAACTGTGGTAAATATGATCATTGTTACTGCATTTCATTAATCTGCAACCAAGAAAAAAATGCCTTGGTAACGAAAAGCAGAAATCAATTGCTTGGTAAAGCAAATTTTAGGTGAAAAACTTGGAAAGACTTTTGAGTGATTTAAATAAAAAAACCCTCATTGGAATTGGTTGTGAGATTATTTTCTCATATTTGCACAAAACAAACTCTACATTTGTATTATCACAGGAACCACTTATTAATAGTAGTGGAGTTCATATCTTAACAAGAGAGGAATTTAAAAGTAGAGAGAAATAAATAAAATGTACACCTGAGGTCTGCAAGTGGATCAGGTGGCCTCAGATTCAGGGTAAGCATAAGAAGATGCATGCTAGAATTTCTAATTCAAAATGAACATTCCCAAAAGTATTTCTTCTGTGTTTTAGTGTTTGGAAGGTTTCTGTTTGTTTTTTTTTTTTTTAAATTATTATTTCAAACCCAATAAAATTCAACAAATAGAAGGAGTCATCACTGCTTCAAAAGCAATAGTCATAGCTGAAATAATAGAAAATCTCACTGTACAATTAAGGAAAATGAACTTCCACTCCTAATCATCAGTGAAGCTGAAGTCTGATAGTACAGAAATGTAGCAAGTTAGCCTCTAATTAACAGGAGGCTTTTAAAAGTATACCTAAACCAAGACTTGTTTGCTCAGAAAAGAAGAAAATGATAGCATACTTCTGACAATGATTTGCATTACTTGTGGTGCCATGTTCTAGAATGAAATTTAAACCAGAATTTTAGAGATGCCAAGGTACTTTTCCAAAACATTCTGTCCATGTCCTTTGTTGCTTTCACAAACTTGTGTTATCATAATAATAGAAATATTCGACTTGAATGCAATAGGCTCTGTCATGAAGGCTGTACAAAGAAGGCTGTACAAACAGAACAAAAAATGTTGTCCACACAGCTCACACTTCAGGTATGAAAAGTAACAGACAGCAGATGGATACTGTGAAGGAGTTAATATAAGCCATTCATTGAAGCAGAGTCTTAGTGACTGACCACTGCTTACTGCTGTATTTATTTGGATTCTAGGTCAAGAGAATTCTGATAAAAGTCTTAAAGTGGTTTTGTAGCCATTAATGGACAGGTCTCCCCTGGAAGGAGGCAAAGTAGTGGAGAAGGCAGGAAAGTGTTTGTCAAGGTGACAGGAGTAGTGAAGGCCAGCAACTAGGAGACTGTGTAATACAGGAATCAACCTTTCAGTGCTGAGTGGTTTGGAGAAGCTGGATAAACACACAGCTTGTGCAAGCATGTAACTTCTGTTTGACATAACCCAGGAGGTAGAGCCAATAAAGGCTGCTGTGAAGCAGAGTTGGAGGAAGACCAGCATGGTTAAAGGGGTAGGAATGGACACAAGAAGAACACCGCATTTGTCGTCCCCACAAATTTGTACTGGTATCATCAAGTGAAAGCCATGAAAGAGACCTTCAGATGTCTGAGCATCTAGTATACTGCTACAGAGAGATTCTGGGAAGTCTCTAACATTTTTACACTGCTTTTAACATCATGACATCTTCACTGGTAGCATCCTAACACTGTAATGTCCATCTTGGCAATTTTTTACACGAGTCATCTGTAACACTACATAGAGTGTTACCAGAAAACAGTAACATTAGAAAACAGTAAGCAAATACTGCACTTCCCATATATTCTTATTTTGCTGTCAGTGAGAACATTCAGCTCAACCCGATTTATGTAGCTATAGCATTTGTAAATTCATAACTCTTTATAAAAATGCTGAAAGTCTTTTGAACTGAAAAGTGTCACTGAAAGGCCCAACTCAGACAGGTATATGTTTAACTTCAACCACATAAGTACCTACAGTCTCTAATAAAAGTGCTGTTTGTATCCACAGGTACCTGAGGTGTTACTACTGGGCGGTTCGCAGTTTAATCACCATCGGTGGCCTTGCAGAACCACAAACGCTGTTTGAGATAATTTTTCAACTGCTGAATTATTTCATGGGTGTCTTTGTCTTCTCCAGCTTAATTGGTCAGGTACATTAAAAAAAAATCGATAACAAGTTACGTTCAAATTACTGCAATGTAGTGATAATATATTCAATTTAAAGGAGTTTAGTTCTGGGAAAAAGTTTAGCTTCCATCCTCTATTCTACTGTCATCCCTACTTATCCTTCTGACAAACAGATGTCTTTAATCAGTTACCATTTTTGTAGCTATTTTGCACAAAAGCTGATTTAAAGCCAAGACTCTGCAGGACACAGATGATTCTTGAAACTATTTATAATTCCTTTTTTTTACTTACTCACAGCCAAGGAGACAGTTCCTTGACATTCATGTTATACTGTTAAATCTGATATAAAAATTATAGTTGTTGAATAAGTCACGTTCAATACTACTACCAATAGAATACTGTTAATGGAAATCCCATGATTTTTGCTGAACTAGAATTCTGGTCTCTTCTACAAATTATAATATATATGTTAATCTGAAAATCAACTGGTTTCTATTTCTCTTGGTTCTCATTTGGCAGGAGGGTAAAAAAAGGACCATAGCATAGCAAATCAGTTATATTTTCAAATATTTCCAGTTTTAAATCCACAGGTTTTAAAATACCTTGCTTACAGAAAAACAAATGCTGTGGTTCCTATGTGAGATTGTGTCTTATCAGTTTCTGTAGAAATCATTCCAGACTTTTTGATTTGTATATGCCTGTTATTGAAAGAATTATCAAAAAAAAACCCCAAAAAACCTGAAAGTTTTTATTTTTAATACAGTATTTGAAAATTTCAACCAAACAGTTAAAAATTGCATATGTTTCTTGCTCTTTAGAAGTGTAAGAAGAGGTAACTGTCACGAAAGAGAGTCTTGTCTATAGGATTTTAAATTCATCCAAAACCAAGAATTACCAAAAATAAAAGAAAGCATTCATATAAAATATTTCTTCTGGAAAACAAGTACATAGAATTAAACTTCAGAGTTTTCACATTTATAATTGATTCCTAAATTTTTGTAATTGCCAATGAAAGCCTCATTCCCTAAGAAGATTTTGCAGATTAGTTTTTGCAACCAGTGTAGTCATTTGCAGACTCAAACTTAAAAGCTTATCACACGAATTGCTTCATTGCAGTTTGTTTGTCATAGTTCCTGTTTACAAAGAGCTCTTAAAATAACTGAGTTATTCCTGGTTTAGCACACTTGCTTAAATATTGTTATTCCCATTGCAATCAAATGCATCCTTGTAATAAAGAGCAACATTCAGCCCACGGCTGATGCTAATCCTTGGCAGCTGCCAGATGAAGCTTCCAGATTCCACTAAAAACACATTTAAATACTTCAGCTTTTGAAGACAGAATATCTATGAACACTAAATCATCCACTTTCTAAAAACTGAATTAAATTTGTGTTGAAATGTTAAATAATGTTCCTGCACTAAAAACTTTTAGGTCAGCTTTCAGCTCACAGTACTTAGGATTGATCTCTTAACTACTTAAACAGTGGCACAATCTCAGTTCTAATGGTGTCAGATGATGTTATTAGAGAAATTCAGCCCAGTTTGCTTCACTTCTGACTTGCATTGCATGCCAAATGCAGAATAGCTTTATTACGGATTTTTAAGAAAAGCATTATCTATAATTTTCATCCATGTCCAGAAATATGAGACAGAAGAATAAGCTAAACCCCAGAAATGATTCCTCTAAAACCATAATTACACTTTCCAACACAATCAGATTAAATCTGTAATGCTTCTGAAAGAGCGGATGAAGCACCTATTCAAAACACGCAGCTGAATGTATTATTATTCAGTGATTTTGCAAACAAGTGTTTCATTATTTTTATATATTGTTGGCAAGATATTAAAATCAAGACTATTTTTGCTGAAATGTGTAACAACAATTGATGTCTGCAGATGAGAGATGTAATTGGAGCAGCAACAGCAGGACAGAACTACTTTCGTTCCTGTGTGGATAACACTGTCTCCTATATGAACACTTATTCTATTCCAAGATTGGTCCAAAATCGTGTTCGAACTTGGTATGAATACACATGGGACTCTCAGGGAATGCTGGGTAAGGATTTACAATTCCAGTTATTTAGCATGTCCAAGTGAAAGTGTATAGATACAGATATAGGGTAAAATTCACATTTCTCCTTTACTGAATTGCATGCGGGAAGTGAGAGGAGGCTGCTCAACTTACTTTGGAAAAAAAAGAAACTACAAAGAAATATGACACTTACTACTTCACAAATTCAATTCATTAATATAATGTTCTGGTAATAATTTTAGACAAGATATATTAAACATCTTAGTAAAAACCTATTAGCAGCTTCCTCACATGAACTCATAAATAGCTCCATTAAGTTATTTTTCTGTACAAAGCTCATTTTTATGGACATTCCTCCATTCTTCCTTTTTTTTTTTTCAGATGAATCAGAATTACTGGAGCAGATGCCAACAAGAATGCAATTAGCCATCGCAATTGATGTGAACTTTGCCATTGTCAATAAAGTGGACTTATTCAAAGCAAGTAATTTTACAAGACAATGCAGAAATATGTGGTATTCCTGAGACAGAAACCTTGTTCTGTGCGTCTTGCAATACTTAAGGACATGTTCGTAAATATGCAAGGCAAAATAAGTCTAAGAAATGTCTCAATTAATGGCAAATAAAGCCAAGTGTCTGCATTTGAATGTGGTTTTTTTGTCAAGGCAGTGATTTTTTAAAAAAAGCAAATAAAATTAAGACACAGTCCTGTTATGACAACATATTAAAGCTGATGGTATGGTCAGACTGTGAGTTAATTAATCTGAAGAGTCAGACATAGAATAATCTAATTTTTAGCACATTTCACCTTGCTGTATGCTGCCCAGCTCTGCCTGAAAGATCTCCCATGCTATGTGTTCTGGCAACATAACTTTCATGTGGTGAATGCTGCATTTTAGTAAGTTTTTGTGCAAAGGAGCTTTCTCTTTATTTATTATAGTAGTTTTCCAGAGCTAATATTTAAATGTGTACTTAAAATTGGCTTTCTGAGACAAAACTAAGAAGACTCTGAATTTTTAGAAGTAGTCTTGACATACAGGAAATTTGCTTGTTAGGATATTTTTAAGAAATCACATGAAATATCTGTATAAATGTTACATGGTTGTATGGTTTTTCCACATTTCCTGAAGACATGGAATTCACAGATTTATACCAACATTTGATGTGATCTGGTTTTTTCCCCTGGTTCAGTAAAAAAAAAAAATTCCCATAAGATTCCCATAACAGACCCATAAAGCTCTGATGATAACACTAACTGAGCTTCCACAGCAAATTTGGATGTACAGAAGCTCACTTTTGTAAAAAATGAAAAGATGTTCCAGCCATAGAGAACTTTATAAGTATTTGAAATAACAACTCTCAGTCTTTTCTCAGCTCTAATAGCTGATCTTTATGGTGATTTGAGTTTGCATTCCACTTATTAATCCCTTGGTCATTCCTGTATTGTTGGGCTTTGAAGCCAGTGTAAGCACTAATAGTCGCTTTTGCTACTGAATTAACGGAGCAATCAACTCTAACTATTTTAACAGGGCTGTGATACCCAGATGATATATGACATGCTGCTAAGGTTGAAATCCATTGTGTATTTACCTGGTGACTTTGTCTGCAAAAAGGTGAGCATTTTTGTCTTGTTGAAATAAGATTACATAAGAAAAAGAGTTCATATATTGGTCAACAATGTCCTTTAAATAAAATGAATCCTAACTGAATTAAGACAGTATAAAAGTAATTAAGGTATTCTGTGTAATAACAAATATGCTCTCAAATTTTACACACATAGCAGGGAATAAAACCCTGTTGGAACCACCTCCTGCTTGGATGCATGTTGCATCTCATCCTACTCTACCAAGGAGATGCTGCATGCAGGCTTGGAGGACCAAGTGAAGAGACAGGAAGTGCAAGTCCATACATTTTCAGTCCTGGCTACATTGTTGCAGCCTTTTGACTTTTAAGATGAAATTGCTGCTTTGCCTCATAATATTGGTAAACCTGGAAACTGTCATATTATTCTAACAACAAAAAACACTGCTAAAACATGGGCTCTTTATGTGTTTGTGTGCCCAGGGAGAGATTGGCAGAGAGATGTACATCATCAAACAGGGTGAAGTTCAAGTCCTTGGAGGTCCTGATGGTACAAAAGTCCTGGTTACACTAAGAGCAGGAGCTGTATTTGGGGAGATCAGGTACGTTCATCACTATTTTTAATACTTTCTTTGGAACTGGTCAAACAATCAATGGTTGTTTAACTTCTCTGTGGTAAGCATGACAGCTACCATAGAAAGGCTCAAAAGTAAGTAGGATCAACAAAGAGGACACTGAGCAAGGAGATGCAGGTAAGTGAAGGAAAATCTAAGCAAAGCATAAGCAATAAATATGGCAAGATCTGAGACCAATGTTTTGGTCAATGTACACAGGGATATACAGACAAATTTCTTCTTTGGCATTTTAAAGATTTGACACATCTCCTTGTTACACTGTCTGCAATACAGCAGGACCAAATGCATTTTATTGCCTGTATAATGAGCCGAGGTGCCCTTAAACAGCAGAAGGCAAAGATGAAAATTAATTTCCAACAAAATCGATAAAAAAACCTAAAATAGCAAATAAAAATAGTTTGTTTAGAGCTGAAGTAGAGATTAAATTGACGAAAATCAGGCATCCTAATTTGAAAAAATATTTATTTAAGAACATACGACACAAAAAGATGATAGACCGTATTTTTTTTTGTCTGAGTTTATCTGGAGGAGACATTTTTTTTCTGGTGGCTACAAATGGTTTTTATATTCTCCATGTGCTTGCTATGCAAAATCCATTAACTCTTATGTGCTACGTTCCCCAATGAGCCAATCAAGTGCTAGTTTTCAGGCACTGCACTCCCCTGCTGAGGTTGGCCTGAGGAAAACTAATAAAATACATGTGCTGCCACATGTGATAAACTGGATCCTTGGTTTCTTCCAGCTGCTTTCCTGTTACTGTTAATCCTCTTGCTGGTAGGTTTAATCTGCCTTTTGAAAAGCGGTAATCAGCTCTGTGTCAGGTTTACATTTGTCTTCTACTTGTGTCTCTGTTTGTAGTAGGGGAAACATTCTGTTTATCCAGTGATGTGTGTGCAGAACTTGCACAGACTTCAAGTGGAAAACATCTGATATATCCAATAGATAATGAACTTCTTCATTGTGTGGGAAAGTGAAATTATACCAGCTCTTTGAAAAAAGGTTATTTGGAGGTTATTATTTCTCTATGTAACAATATACTACCCGAGCAAAGCCTCCAAACAAAAGGCTGCATTGTAAATTATGTGGAAAGGTTGAGAATGAAATCACCACTAAGGACTGAATAATGAAAAGACAAAAGGAAAAACTAAAGCAGCCCCAATATTTAACACACACATGGAGTGAGAACTTTATATTTTAAACTGAGAAATTATAATGATTGGTTTCAAAACAAGGAAAGGATTTTCACACTTTTGATCCGATACAGGTGAGTGCTTGTTTCCATGTGAAAACCACACAACAACTTTTAAAGATTCATTTCCCAATATCTGTTACTCTTTACATAATTGCCAGTATGTCCAGGAAAACCCTCAGCAATGCTATAACGCTACACTTCTAGTCTTGTTTTATTCATCACTGACCTACTGCAGCAGTAAACTCATTCAGACACATGTAATTTGCATATAAAATGTCAGGCAGTGGATAAACTTGAGGAGAAAAACTGCAGTAACTGGCAGACATGAAGCACTAAGTGTATTGGTAGAGATATACTCTTCCTTGTGGCAAAACACTAGAAAATAATGAGTTTGTATTGTGCCTTTCTATGTAAGTTTTGTCAAGGTCTTCTGAATACAGAATACCAGAAGAAAATGGAAAAAAATATTTTTTAGCTCTCTGTCAGGTTTACATTTGTCTTCTACTTGTGTCTCTGTTTGTAGTAGGGGAAACATTCTGTTTATCCAGTGATGTGTGTGCAGAACTTGCACAGACTTCAAGTGGAAAACATCTGATATATCCAATAGATAATGAACTTCTTCATTGTGTGGGAAAGTGAAATTATACCAGCTCTTTGAAAAAAGGTTATTTGGAGGTTATTATTTCTCTGTGTAACAATATACTACCCGAGCAAAGCCTCCAAACAAAAGGCTGCATTGTAATTATGTGGAAAGGTTGAGAATGAAATCACCACTAAGGACTGAATAATGAAAAGACAAAAGGAAAAACTAAAGCAACCCCAATATTTAACACACACATGGAGTGAGAACTTTATATTTTAAACTGAGAAATTATAATGATTGGTTTCAAAACAAGGAAGGGATTTTCACACTTTTGATCTGATACAGGTGAGTGCTTGTTTCCATGTGAAAACCACACAACAACTTTTAAAGATTCATTTCCCAATATCTGTTACTCTTTACATAATTGCCAGTATGTCCAGGAAAACCCTCATCAATGCTATAATGCTACACTTCTAGTCTTGTTTTATTCATCACTGACCTACTGCAGCAGTAAACCCATTCAGACACATGTAATTTGCATATAAAATGTCAGGTAGTGGATAAACTTGAGGAGAAAAACTGCAGTAACTGGCAGACATGAAGCACTAAGTGTATTGGTAGAGATATACTCTTCCTTGTGGCAAAACACCAGAAAATAATGAGTTTGTGCCTTTCTATGTAAGTTTTGTCAAGGTCTTCTGAATACAGAATACCAGAAGAAAATGGAAAAAAATATTTTTTAATGGAAGAAATACTTACTTAGGACATAGAAATTTTCCCCTCACTTCATAGTGTGGTTATAGCCTGATATCAGGCAGATTTCCTTCTGATTGCCAATTCAAGATTTCTTTAGAGAAATACATTAGCTTCTTTCTAAGTGGTTTAAGTATATGATTGATAAAACACTTGCTATTTAATCTCACTCTGCTAAAAAAAATGCATGTAAATTATGCTTAAAAAGTCTCCAGTGGCAAAGGAATTGAAGAAAATAAAAACTGTTTATTTCAAAAAACTTCCCTGAATTATATTAGACTGCCGATGGAAGACTAATAATCAAACATGTCCTTTGCCAATTTCATCCTTGAAAATTATTACAGAAAGAGATTAAGTAATAGGAGTTCCAATTAACATCCTGCCCTGCCTGCATAGATATCAGTTTGGGGAAGTAAAATAATTTCAGAATCAGAAGCAAACAGACTGTTGCCTTAATGAGAGCCTGTCAGCACACACAATTCACAAAGAGAGAAATTCAGTTATAACAACACTTCATTAGCCCAGAGAAAGTTACATTTTAAGCCAGATGTCCTCATTCATCCATTTACTGGTATTTTACTAGAGCTATTTCCTATCAGAAAATGGTAATTCTGGAAAAACTAAAACATTTCTCCATCTTATGTAAATTTTTGACAGGAAGATCCCTAAATGTTTGATCTCAGCTTTAGCTTTCAGCTGTTTTGTAATTTTAAACTTTATTTAAAAAATCAAAACGACCAGGAATATTTAGTTCTGTGAAAGATTACATTTTCCATCACTTTGGTCCAGGATTTGCCTCGAAGTGGTAGCTGCTGCTTTTCAATGAGTTTGCCCTTTGGAGCTTGAAATCCTGCTTGGAAGCAAGATCCAGACCTATTCCTCTTTCCTGACTTACCAGTTCTCTTCACAGGCACGGAGGTGCCAGGTTGAGCCACCACAACCCTGCACGTTCAGCTGATAACACATGCCATTTCCTGATCCATTTGCTAATTTCAATGAGCACCAGCTTCTTACAGAGATCAGCTATAAAAAGCAAATAGATAAGCTGAGTCATCACTTTGATAACTTTATAGCTTGAAAATTAATTTGCTAGCATAAGAATTCAAAAGTTATTAACTCATACTAATATTACAGCATTTCAGGCTAAGAACTGAAGTAAAAAAAATTAGGTAAATAAAGCAAATTTCACAATTAAAATAGATATTACATTTCCAAGAACCATTGCAAGGCAAATGTATCTATTTTAAAATATTTAGTCATGTAACTATTCATACACTAACCAAAACAGATTCAATGCTGACATACATAACACTGTCCTTAGTCAAAGATGATTCTTTTTGAGCAGAGACTGCTTTACTTGTAAAATTCACCTCACATCATCACCATAATGAAAAAGCTGATCGCTTTAGTCCTCGTCTACCTTGATAAAATAACCTTTCTGTTAGGAAAGCCTAAAAATGATTTTTCAATGACTTGTTGAGAAATGATTCATCAGAGCTCAAAAGCTGTTTGCAATTTTCTTTAGTTGCTTTTCGTATTATGCAAAGAGTTTTATTCTATCTGAGGAATTGTACAGAATTGTATAAAGAGAAGACATTCAACTGTATTTTCAGCTTGAGTTCATATACTGATTGCTGTCTTGGCTTGCAGAAAAACACTCTTTGTGTGCATGTAAAAACAGCCTTGCACACACAGTTGCAGAGGTCTCCTACTGTCCTTTATAAATTAAATATATTATCTGTATGATGCAATATTTAGAAATGTGTTCTAGACATATATTTAATATTAAAACAAATACTTATATAACTTTGATTAATATTTTAGATAGGTATCAATTCTTGTTTTATGGGGCTCAGACCATTTTTTTATTAATAATTTCAAATTGAGATAATACTAAAGGTTGTCTAAAAATATTAATTCACTGGGAAATCTTCAAGGGAAAAAATTTAGGGTAGATCTTGAATACAGCGATAGAGCAATTTTAGTACTAAGAGCAGAATGCAAATTCTCTTGCTTATCACCACAGCTGAGAGTCTCTTCATTTGTTTAATGCAAGATGAAAAATTTAATTGTTATTTGGACATATTTTTTTTGTTTTAAGTATCCTTCCTATGACCAACTGCTGCTGGCTAAACTGGTCTAATGCCTTACTTTCAAAACAAAACCCCCCTCTTTTTCTGGCAGACACATTTGTAACTGTCAGTCTGAAAGACCTTCCTAATCTGTATCATTCAACTTGCCAACATTCAAACATGAGATATGTTATGTGAGAAAACTGAAAACCAGAGTCTGGCAGAAATTATTTACTCAAGAAAAATAAAATTCTTGGAGAATCATTCACTCACTGTAAATAAAGCTGGCCTACTTCTGATGTAAATAATTTTCAACAATAAAATTGAAGAAATGCCAAGTTCACATGAGGACTAAAACAAGTGCAGGCCTTGCTGTGGGTGTCTCAACACAAATGTCTCTGTGTAGCAAAACTTTTTTCAGTCCTTAGCATCTACCTGACTGGCAGTGACAATTTGCCTTCCTGAGACAAGAACATATTTCTAATCCAAATTGTACAGGGCCTTTACAGAACATCAGATTGAACAGCCAGGTACATAAGTGAGCTTTACAATGACTTTAATGGAGAACCACTAGCAAAGAGGTTCCTCACTAGGGCAAGTAACAATGTGACTGATGATGTTTATTTTCATTCCAGCCTACTAGCTCCATGGTCCCCAGAACTTATCTTTCTTGACTTTTCTCTAGCTTCTATTTAAACAGTAGTATGACCATCATTACTTGTTATTTCTCTCTGCCCCACATTACCTCTTCTGACTTCTTGCCCACCCTGATCATATTTTGCCAATCCGTTAAATTCTGCTTCCACCAAATAGTCTTTCTCAACTGCAGAGCTTAATCATCCAGCCGTAGTACCTGCACTCCCATTTGAGCTCACAGCCCTCTCTAGATATCAGACTAAATACAGGATATTCTGTTTAATTTTAAACATATGCAGTACCTGCCCTGTGCTGAAGGTCAAGTATTTTGCCCAGTTGTCTAGGCATCCACTAATTCTGCCAAAACTAGGCACCAAGAGGAAATGTGTGCACTGATTTGATAAGGATTGCAGTTATGTTCAGTTTTGGAAAGAAGTTGCCAGTTGCTTTGCCCTGGTAGGTTTACATTAGAGTTTTCTGGGGCCATCTGACAACTTTAAAAGGCTCCTGAGTTTATTTCAAAACTCAGAAGATTTATTCAAGCAAGAAATTTGTTCTGTCACCACCTGCCCGATACCCACGTCTTTACATAACAAAGCCATGCAAGTTGCTGAAGTGTACTTTTTTAATTTATGACAATAAAACTGAAAAAAAAAGTAAAAGCTCCACTTCTGAAATTACTCGAGTACCAAAGCAGAAGATGCTGGAGAAAATTATAATATTATAGGATTTGCTGTATGACAGACTGCAGGTATAGTCCTTGTTCATAAAGAGCCTTAAGCCTTGCAAGGATAGAAAAGTTGCCTTGAAAACTGTACAGTAATCTAATAGACACTGAAAGCAGGGGAACCCTCTGCTTTTCACTGGTTTCATCTATCTCAGATCTGTCATCTAATCTTTACCCTCGACATTCATTCTCACTTCTTGTCATTATGGCTGCAAACCAGTACAGCTACAGAATGGTGTGAAAATCTAGTCTGCCATATGATTGGCAGTAATGTTCATATCTTCAGGGTGACTTCTTCTACCGAAGAAGACCAAAAATAAGTACCACTGTCTAACCTGACTTATGAGAGATGAGCCATGCTGGAATTTAGTTTGGTAAACTATTACTTCCACAAGTATCAGCTGGACTCCCAATGGAGCATTACATGCTTTCTGAATTTGCATCCCGAAGTCCAGGCAAGAGACTGACACCTCAGGTATGGGGCACCCATCCCCCTCCACACCTCTTTTCTCCCTATAAAACTCTCATCTGCTTTGTGACACCTTAATTTGAGCCAGCACCTGTTTATTCTCCAGGATATAGATAAGCAACTTCAAATTTGAACAGTTTCCTCTAACTCTACCAGAGCCTGGGGTAAAACCCTTACCATTTCCAGTTTTGCTGTTATCACTGGACCTGGGAACCAAATAAAGTTTGTCTGTAAAAGCTGCCAGATTTTCATGCATGAATGTGGTACTTCAGCTTAGCAGGAACTTTGCTCGTTTTCACAGCACTGTTTTGTGTCCTCGTTTCCTTCCATCTCCAGGGTGCTGCTGAAACAGAAGGGGAAACCTCCTCCAGGACCACCAGTACAACAACCACGAGGCTTGGCCAGTCTCTTCGGGCAGAAACAGGAAACTCCAAAATTGTTTAAAGCGATGCTTGGAGCCAGAGGAAAAGATGGCCTTGCTAAGCTGCTGCAGCTGAAGAGACAACAAGACGCTGAGGTAAAGCCACAGAAAATAGAGTAGAATCTTCCAGGTGCTGAAAGATACTGGGAGGGCTTGGGCAGAGTAGGTGAAAATTTAGACTTACTGCAATCAACAGCAAAAACTCCCAGTAGCTGAGATATAACCACTTTCCTAATCTCTGTAAACACTGGTTCTAAAATTTGGCTCAAATCTTTGTGAACCTGGACTCTGTGCAGAGCAGAGAAAAAAAAAGTAAGCAAACAAAAATCCTCAAAGTCTATAAAATAGACTTTACAAAGGCCCCGAGGGCATCTGATCTTCTAATTTTATGTAAACAACAGTAAATACAGAAATGTCTTAACACAGTAATCTGATCCAGCTGACTCGGGCACACGGTGAACTTTCCAATTCAGTGTCAGATCTCTGGTTGTTACAAATCCTGAAGACAAAATGTAAAGCGTAGCCCACACAGACAAAACTGATTAAATCTCTAATATATTGCACTTATGAGAAAACTGTTATTTTAACTGATAAAAAATAACTCCAACATTATACTATATTCTGAGAAATGAACCTGCTCAGTTCTACATATTTACCCAAAGTTGACAGAATCCTTTTCTTTACAGCTGAACTGGCTGGGGTTTTATTTAAGTTAAATAAAGAACTTACACAAATAATTACAACACTATGATTAGAGCAGAAACATTGCTCAGTTTAATGTTACTTGTGAACTTAATTGCAAATAGGCTTGGCCAAGGAACTGGGGCTGTGGGTAGTATGCCAAGATTTACGTAACACTTTTTCTTTCTCCACTAGTGTAAGTACATAAAGGAAGGCAAGACCTGAGGCAGGGTTCTGTGCCCCAAAACGGGCCTGTTTCATCCTGCTATATTAGTAAGAAGCAGATACTATCATTATCCACAAACTTGTCCTAGGGTTTACACTGATATTCTAATTCTGAAATTACATTTCTCATTTAGAAACTGATTCTCAAGCATCTAAATAGAAATTTACATATGTTGCATACCCTTAATCACAGTTGCCATGTTGTGCCTTTCCATGGCATATACAAAATAGAACTACTTCCAGAATTTCTTCTGTGGTATTGGAAAACATTAAACTTCTTGTTTCTAGGAAGCTAAAGCTGAAACAGAGACTAAGCCTAAAGAAGAGGAGAAGATGACTGAGAAGCCTGCAGCCTCCTCTGCACCCCCTGCTCCAAAGAGCGAGCCAAAGGCAGATGCTAAGCCTGCAGTTATGCAGAGAGTAACCAGTAAGGAGTCTCTGATCATTAGTATGTCACCATCCCCCAGAGCAGGAGAAGGAGAGATCCTTAAAGTTGAAGTTAAAGAGTCACAAAAGAAATAGATGATGCCTTGGGCTCTGGCCCCATCTATTGTCTTGCTGAATTCAAGCTTCTGAATTCAGGGCTGGTGTGACTTTGCTTTTGGGTACAGAAGATAAAAGTAGAGACTACTCATGAGAAAAATCTACTTCAGTTCCTCTTCTTTCCCTCCTCTCCTGGTACAATGGGACAAATAATTTACATTCTTAACCTTGAGCCTGAAGAGAGAACTGGTGTCCTAGGAATTAAAGCTTAGATTGCATTTCAGGACAACTTGTTTCTTGTTTGATCCATGCTCTCCCTTTTCTCTTCCTCCATCTTGTTTCTGCTTCTTCTCTTCCCTCTCCTGTTTATCCTTGCATTCTTATTGCTGTTCCTGTTGCTCAATTTGCTCTTAACTGTTGCATGTACTCTTTTCTCTTTTTTCCTCTGGTTTCCCACAGTTATCCTTTTCCTTGCTACTGCTCTACTGTTGCTGAGGGTCCTTATGTTTTTCTCTACCCTTCTCTCTCCTACCCTTATACTTCTAATAAGTGACCTGGGTTTGTGACAAGCGTGGCTCAGAGCAGACAGCTGTGGTGCTGTGTGTTGGGATGGTTTAGCCTGGGACAGAGGACAATGTAACAAAACCATTGTCAAAAAACAAAATCACAAAATCCGCAAGGGGGAAGCAGATTGCAGAATTATTGCCAGTCCTCTGAAAGCATAAACATCTGCTCCAGTTGTCTTTGGCAAGTAAACATGGGAAAGACTTAGATAGTCCACCCCACTGGGCTGTTGATCTACACACTTGATCTTCTCAAGGGGTTGGGCATGCTCTCTGAAGAGTAAGCAGTTGATACAGCTAACAAGCTGAAGAACTTTGATATCTAAACTAGCCACCTCAAAAATAAAGGCTATTTTATAAAAAGCAGTATTTACACTTTCTGGCTTTGTGGTGTGTACTTTCAAGCAATGCTCCAATTGTTCACCTACATCACAGATCTTGACCGATGGTGTAAAGTGAAACCCATGTCTTTTGGGGCTGAGCTATATCATACCTGTGAACTACAGGTTTTATGAGTGCCACAGCTGAGAGGGATACAGCCTCCTAACAAGGAGCTCCCACACTGTCAGCCTTCTGCATCAACTCATCACAGTGCCAGATGCAGTATTAAACAAAAGGCTGAAGATTCTCAATTACTTTTTTCTCTTCCATGGGTTTGCATCTCCTCTCTCTCCCTATCCCCTTTCAGACCTCATTGGATGAACAGTTTTGTGAACTAAAAACATAATGCAGAGGCTGAGCCAAGAAATTGTATGGGCAGGCTTCAGGGCTCCTCAGCTGACCAGCCAACCAAGGAATGCACCATGTCAAAATTAAACATTCACTTTGCAGGCTATATATGACTCTGCAGGCTACACATTCTGTACATCTGTACTTTAGAGAAGTTGAAAGGCTTTAATCAAAGAAAAGGCTGGCAGCTCAGCTGGAAGTTTGCCTGAGTAAAAGCTGGGTGACTAAATTCTGTATGTTACTTATTCCACAAATGGAGTATTTGACATGTATATGACAAAAAAAGTATATGACAAAAACCCAAATCTCTTTCAAAAAGAAAGTTCTGCTGCATTAGCAGAGAGACGAACGTTCCACTGCTATGTGGGAAGATCTTTATTTGTGTATTACTTGTTATTTAATACATAAAATGACATCAAAACAGAGGGAGAAAATTTAATGCTACATCATAAAGAATTACCCATCTATTGCACATCCAGGAATGACTCAATGAAATCTCAGAATCAGAAATACTGCAGAACTGTTTCACAAATGAGGTCCTCTATGAATAATAACCATCTATGAATTGATTACAATATATAGTTTCACTTTTTTTTTTTGAGATTTGTCAAAACATCATGTAAAAGGGAAAAACTGAACTCCTCATATTTTAACACTTTTATATTAATGAGTAAAGCTTGCTCTCATTGCAAAAGAATTTATTCCCTTCTGCCTACACAAATGTTACCAGGTAGCTTCAGACATTTTCTCTGCGGGTGTATTTAAGTTCATCAGGCCCAAAGTAAGGGCTGAGGTTGCAGCATCGAGCGCTACACTGCAGTGACAGAGCATCCCACAAATTGCTGCTTTGCTACAGCTCATAACTGCCCAGGATTGCAGGAAAGCCTGACAGTTCTGTCTGCATGATTACCAAGTTACACAGCTCTTGAGTTCTTTAGACCCAAAATCAGTGCAGAAGATTGTGGCCACACAGAAGTAACATCCCTCTGGTTTTCTCTGACATCCTACTTTTCTGTTGTTGGAGTTGTTGGAGTTTTCCCCTTCCCAAAATTCCTCCATTTTTAGGGGGTGGGCAGGGGCAAGAAGGTTCCATGAATCCAAGTTGCAACTATTTGTAGTGGCAAAAAGCCAGAAGGAATGACAAGAAAGGTCAAGATGTAAGCTGTAATAAATCCTTTCACAAACTAATTCTACCCTGGAGATTCTTGACTGGAGATTCTTGCCTTGGAGAAGCCAAGTGAATTACGCTAGTGCACTTAGAAGACACAACTCCCAGTTATCAAAATTGACTCAGGCTCTGTAAGGCATTGAATTCTGCTGCAACATTATGTCTCCAATATCTCTGTTTCCCAATAAAGTACCTCAGACTTCACTACACTTGAATGTAAAGAAACTGAAGGATGGAATAGGATGTTGTATTTGAAAAGTACAAATAATCAAATCTCCATGCCTCTCCAATTAAAATGTAGATGCTGTTCTGAAAAATTTTTTTGAAAACCTGATAATAATTGTATGAAATGGCATGCATGGGAAAACTGTAATGTGGCACAGAGCATGAAACAGTGACAGCTAAAACTGTCCAGTTTCAGAATATCTTCTTGCTAAAAGCCAATATAAGATGCTTTATAAAACAAAACATACACTGCAGAGTCATAACCACTAAATGAAAAGGCATTTTTCCTCATATCTGATGATACTTGTTATAAATCTGTGGCATAGTCACCACAGGAATCACAAAAGCAGCATTCAGCACTACGCAGAAAATGCTGAAAACAAAAGTACAACAAAACAGTATACTGAAATTATCATTTTAATGCATAGGGTATTGCAAATCAATTAACTTCATCAGAACTGAAATACATAGAAAAGTAAAAAAATTCTGGTTACAGATTAGCTCTCTGCTGTACATATTTATATTACGACCAATAAATGGTGAAAAGCATCCGATGACAAAGACTGCCATACATCACTTTTATCACAAGGTGGTGCCAGTGACCTACAAGCACATTCACTTTACAAAATTGATAGTATTTTGTCATTTAGCTTTTCGTTCTCAAGCTAATAACTCAGTTTTTACACGTAAAAATACATTAAAAATAATAATAAAAAAAAGGCAAAACAACACAGTAACTACCTTTCACTTTGACTCAATCTGCTGCATTTTTTGATTCAGAATATTGCTTCAGTCTACCTTGGAAGTTTTCAACAGGCATTAGCTGTACATCTCTAAGAGAAGTTATACCCGGAAAATGGTTCTTGCCACTATCAGATCTAAAACACTTATTTAAATGCACTTCCATGGCAACTTAAAACAGAATTGATAACAGAACTCAGATACATTATATTTTTGGCAGACAGCTCAGAGGAACTTCAGTAGTATCCTGTAATCCTATCAATAGTACCCATCCACTTCAGTTAATCTAGATAAAGCATTAATACTGCATCCAGTTAGCTCTGTACAGAGCAGGTAGTTGTGAAACAGTTTATTGTTCCAAAATCATACACTCTCAATTTGCAGCAGTGTGATTTAGGTTTATTATAACAACTTCCTCGATCTTAGTATTTTGTGTTGCATATTTGATATGGCAATTCCTTATAATTTATATATAAAATAGTAACAGATTTGCATTACACTGATAAAAAGATGATTATAGATTTTTTACATAAATACATGAATTACATTTTTTAAAAAAGAGCTTGACTTAATATGAAACACAATCTCTTCCTTTGTATTCCACTATTGAAAGCATTTAGGATCCCCTTCCACCAAGGAAAATAGAATGAAGATAACATATCCATTCATGATTGATTGATAACTGTCAATTATCTTGTATAAGACAATCTCAATACATACATCTCATATATCTTTCATCCATCAATGTTAATGTGAATTCAGATTTTTACAGGATTATATCTGTAAAAAAAAAAAAAAAAAAAGAAACAAACAAAACCTACACAAAGCAGGTCCAGCAACCAAAAATCACATACACTGCGAGCTGGTAAGTCACATACATGATAACCTGGTGCAACCTTGAGTGTCCAAGTGTGCTAAATTTAGCATTAGTCCATTCTGTTCTTACATGAAATTAGTTGGATGCCTAACTCTAAACCACTTCAAATGTGAAACTGCAAAATTAACGTTCAAGATTGGCATTTCAAAGTGATAAATGTGACCTTTTACACCCACTTATGTTACACACAGTGACAGGATCAGAAGAAATCCTCAGCAAGCAGTATGCAACTGGGGGACAAGAAAGCTTCCACTAAGAAACAACATGATTTACACTTGGTATAACTGATGAAAACTCAAGTCAACAAAATGAACCAGAAGTTTGTTTGCCCTAAAGAAATGCAGTATGATTATAGGATTAGGGCTTAGAGACTTGACTTTCTTATGTCTTCCTAAAGGGAGGGAAGAGGGAATATTGGCTTTTTTGTAGGCACTTTTCATTGGTAGGCTCATGAAGAAGCAGTGTGACTCAAAATATGACAAAAATAGATATAGGTAGCACTTTGAAGAACTGCCTTTGCCTGAAAATATACAGTCATAAATCAGATAAGAAACTTCTTAAGCAAAAAGTGGATTCCTGTTTCACAAAAAGTCTTTCAAAGATCAATAGTCATGACTGTTCTTTGGGGGGGAAAAAAAACCAAAAGAAAACCCTTACGAAAATAAAACCCAAAGTTTTCGTTTTCCAGTACACTCCACATTAAAACACATCGTACAGCCCTTACAGTAGCAGCCTC